TAATAATGGCAATATTATTTTTTTAAATAATAGTATTGTACAAAATTTAAGCTAAACTTTGTCTTGAGGGAACAGAAGCTGTTGATTTGGAGCAGAGCAGATGGTGCAAGGCTTATCCTTTCGATCCTGTGAGCTCACTGATGTTCAGATCAAGTTACTTTCAGTATTCCATTCACATTCCACAATAATAATTTTATTTGCCATTTCCCCCAGAGACTGTAAGGTTTATTTGGAACAGCCAACATTTTGTGAATTGTGAATTACTGAGGATCCCCAGGTTTCCTGTAACGGTACTTCAACTCATCTAAATCAACTCCATCTCAATTTCTAATTTCTAATCAGTGTCTGGTCAATTTCTAGGCATGAAAGCCAGGCACCTTAGCCTTGCCCGTACTTCCTCCATCTTCATCCCATGCAACTCTTTTGATCACCGAATGAGTCTTTCTTTGAAACATTTCTTGTAGCTATTGATTCCTTTCTGACTCCCCAGCTACAATACTCATCAGGACTCCAACTACCTGCTGCCTCCCTTATCACAGCAATCTTCTGTGTCAGAGAGGTATGTGTTCTGAAAAAACTGCCCAGGTTCAAATATGGGCTCTACTCCTGTGTGATTTTAGGCGAGTTTCTTAACTTCTCTATGCATGTCTTTCTTCATCTGTAAAATGGAAGTAGCAATACTATCTAGTTTATTAATTTGTTGTGAGATAATACATGTAAAAGCACACAGAACCGCAACTGGGCACATAGTTAATGATCAATCAATGCTAGCGATATCAATTATATAATGAATTCATTTGCATCTACTTTGGGCCTTTTGGCTAGGTCAACAATCTTGAGTAACATCATTTCACTCTTTTGGTTCTAAGCCCCCATATGAGTCTTGTACTGGGCAGTGGCTGACTAGGTTGTTTGAGACAACATATCCTGCTGGGAACAAGTAGAAGTACTGGACATCTCAGAAATATCTAGTCAGGGAGAATTTTTTAGACCAAGATCTGAATAAGGAATCAAGTCAGTAAAGGTGAATGATGTTTGAAGCCGATTCCAAAAGTGAAAGCAGTGAATGAAAAGTTGGAAAGTATGAGCAGAGGTTTCATCAGTATGAAAATGCTTAGAGGGATAAAATTAGAGTCAAGAACCTATTAGAGGGGAGAGGTACTGGAAAACATCACGGACATATTTTCTGGAGGAAGGGTCAACTGGAGAAGCATATCTCACAGGGTTAATTAAGGCCTGGTTTTAGAATCATAGCAACTCCTGACTGGATTCAGTTAATCAGCTTTTAGCTTCTCTGTCTATTAGAAGCAATAAATAAGTACCTCTGGAAAAAGATAACATCAATAAAAGTAACCAGTCACATAAGAAAACCAGTTTTGACAGACAACCAAGAGGGAAAACAGACAATGCAAAGAAATCCACAGAGGACCCAGATTTTTAAAATAATAAGATATATATTTTTTGAACTATTATTAATATGTTCATGGAATTAAAAATCTAGATGAATAAACTTGGCACAGAAAACTATGTGAAATAATCACATGGATATTCCAGACCTGAATAATATCCAATAAATAAAAGTGAAGAGTGAACAGATAAGTTAAACAGCAGATTAAACACAGCTGAAGACACAATAATGATCTGGACTATAGGGCAGTAGAACATGCACAGACTAAACCACAAAGACAAAAAAATGGAGAACATAGAAAAGAGCATAAGAAATATAAGGAACCCAGTGAAAATGTTTAACATATATGTATTAGAAATGGAAAAGAGAAGAAATTGAGAAGATATATTTGAAGAAATTTGGCCAAGAATGTCCCCCAAATTATAAAAATCATTAAGCCAAGGATATGCTTTAAATTCCAAGCATGACAAATACAAAGTAAAGTATATTTAATCACACAAAATAAAACTGTTGAAGATAAAAGGCAAAGTCTTAATAGCAGCTGAAAACAAAAAAAATACTACTTTTCTAAAAAAGTGACAATTAAATGGATGCTAACTTCTCAACAGAACAGTGAAGGCCAGAATAACAACTAACCTGGAATTCTCTAGCCAGTGGAAATATGCTTTGAAAATGAAGACATATGGGATCATAAAGGATTGCATTTCTGAAAAAAACCCAAAGTTACTGATTTTAGAATTTCAATGTTGGGTAGCCCCAAAGTACATTTTCTTTCTTTCTATTAAAAACTTAGAACCAATGTCATGATAATACAAATTCATCAGAGACAAATGCTGATTTTGTCACCAGTATGTTTACAGAAATTAAAAATTCATTTCTTACACTGTTTTGAAATCCTATTACCACGAAATACTCAATACTGTGAAGACCAAAAAAATGGAAGAACATTTGTTTACATTGCAATAGAAACATGTTAAGTAAACTATTTTATGAATAAAATCTATTGGATGGTATAAAAAATGAAGGCACAATAAAATTTGCAACAAATAAGCACTGAGAGAAGTCACCACATGACCCATAATAAAGGAAACCTAAAGGGTATGATTTTGGGGGGCAAAAGAAAATGATCTCAAAGAGAGGCATAGAGATGCAGCAGAAAGTGAAGAGCACCAGAAAGGATAAAAATATGTGTAATTATAAATAAACATTGACTTTACAAAACAGTAATAGTAAAGTCTTCTGGAGTCTTAAATATATGTAGAATCAAAATTCATGACAACAGGTGTGCCTGTTAGCTCAGTGGGTTAAAACCTCCGCCTTAGGCTCAGGTCATGATCCCAGGGTCCTGGGATCGAGCCCCGAAGCGGGCTCTCTGCTTAGCAGGAAGCCTACTTCCTCCTCTCTCTCTCTCCGCCTGCCTCTCTGCCTACTTGTGATCTCTGTCTGTCAAATAAATAAATAAAATCGTTAAAAAAAATTCATGACAACAAAATGTAGGAGAGGGAGGGATGTGAATGGGGCTAAAATCTTCTAAGATTCTAGCATTATCAATAATGTGATAAAGGTGAAAACGTATATTATACTTCAGTTGTTCAAGGATGCCTATTTTAATCTCTAGGATAATTACTAAAAGAATATATGACTACTGAAATAATAAAGGGAAATGGAATAATAAATTAATCAGAAAGAAAAAAACGTTGAATAAGTGGGTCTGGAAAAGGTGCTGACAGAGCCAAATCAAAATATACATCAATAATTATATTAAATGTGAATATAAAATAATATCCAAATGAGATGACAAATTGTTTCAGAGTGGAAAACACAAAACTCGATTATATGCTAGTCACAAGAACTACACTTTAAATACAAGGTCACAGAAAAGTTGAAATGGAAAAATAGAAAAGACAACCATGCCAACATGAAACAAAGGTGATGTATCTATATTAATATCAAAGTAGAACTTAAGGAAAGAAGCATTACCAAATATAAAGAGGGATATTTCATAAAGATAAAAGTATGTTAAGAAAATATAATAATTGTAAATATGGGTATATCCAATAACCTAACCTCAGAGTATATAAAGCAAAAACTGACAGAACTAGAAGAGAGAAATAGATTTGGAGAAATAGATCTGTAAGTATATCCTTTCAGTAACTGACAGAACAGTCATAGAAATCAACAAAGATATAGAAGATTTGAGCATATTTAAAAACTTAACCTAATTCATATATAGAGAGAACATAGCAACAAACAACTGAAGAACAGCAATTATTTTCAAGCAAACATGAAACATTTATCAAAATAGATGCAGGGCCATAAAGCAAGTCTTAACAAATGAGGTAATTGAAATGATACAAAGTATACAAACCATATGCTTTGTACAGACATAGATTAGAATGGAATTGAGCTAGAAATCAATAGCAAAAAGGTAATTGGAAATCCCCACATATTTGGAAATTAAGTAACATACTTATACATAGCCAGTGGGTCAAAGAAGAAATTACACTGGATATCAGAAAACAGTTTAACTGAAGGATAGTTAAAATGTGACATATCAAAACATGTGAGATCAAGTAAGTGTATTTATAGGGAAACGGATAGTCTTCAGAATATATATTAGAAAAGAATGATGATTAAAGCCAATGATTGGGACCTCTAGAATGGCCACGAAAGGGAACAAGTTGGGTTTGGACCCCAAAATCCCCTTCTCCAAAGAATCATTACTATTTGACCTATCTGCAGTTCACTGAAAAGCTCCATCCACAGGACTTGTCTGTGTTTGACCTAAGTCAATGCTAATTTTGTACAAATAGCCCTTACCTCGGGGCATTTGCCAAAAAAATATAGTGGCAGTTTTTTAATATCTCAGTTTCCTGAGGCAGTGTTACCAGTTGGAGCTAAAAAGAACCTGAGAAATAACCTAAAAGGAAAAACTGGGGAATAACATGGAGACACCGAAAAATTCTAACATTATTTATGGGAATCGAGAAGGTCACACATATGTGACTGTGTACATGCCTCATAATCCTTCACCTTTAGCTGACCTTGAGGTCTTGCACAAGCAAGGAACTGAAGGTTGAGGCAGAATTGTAAACTCCCTACATGAGCACAGACAGATCAATTGAGATTATCCCATCTAAGCAATAGAAATTCGGAAAAAAGAATGAAGAAAATGGACAGAGCCCCAGAGACCTGTAGGATACCCTCAAGCTACTAACCTACATATAAAAGGAATCCTAAAAGAAGAATAAAGAAAGCAGAAGAAAAGAATATTTGAAGAGATCATGGCCAAAAACTTCTCAAATTTGAAAAACTGCATCAAATCTGCATCTCCAAGAAGCTCAACAAATCACAGGTAGTATAATCTCAAAGAGATGCATGAGCTGGCACATCACAGTCAAACTGTCAAAAGCCAAAGACAGCATCTCGAGAGCAGCAAGAGAAAGGATTCATCACCTACAAACCCACAACCGCAACGTGGTTTTCCAGAAGCCTGCTCCTGGACACCATCCAGGTAGAATGTGAGGTAACAATCATTTGTGAGTCATCAACAGCCACCCTATTGGTGAAGTCAAAGATGGAAGATGGGCAAGTTTTTCTCTCTCTACTCCTTAAAGTCTCCTACCCATCCTGGCCCTCCCTACCCTGTGAGTCAGGACTAAGAGGGACAGAGGGGTCACTGCAAACAGCATAGGGGGTCTGTGATGTAACAATGGTTGCCTGCCCTCTGAGGGCTATGGTACTTGCCCACTTGGGAAACAGCTAAGTAGTAAGTAACTGTTGGCTTTAGATTGGATAGTAGTGGCTTGAAGCATAGAGTTCTACATAATGTTTTCCTTAAAACTACGTTCTTGTCCTGAAGTACTATACTGAAGATGAGGCGTGTTTCTTTGATTCATGTTTTTATATCTCTGTAGGTACACCTTTACAGTTTTATCTTTTGCTTTATATCTACATACGCTTCTATGTATTTGATATCACGCTTAATTTATCTCTTCTTCAAAGATAATTTAAATTGTCATGAGAAAAACTTGCAAATGGATTTTCCCCTAACATTCTAACCCAGAGACTTCCCTTCGTTCAGTTGCAATTTACTTAACACGTATTATGTACCTGTTGTTTTACTGGATACCAGTCACAGAGATGTGAGACGGAGTGTTCCTAGTGGGACAAGAGGGGCATCTGCTCAGTCTTAACTTGGTGGAGACAGGGGTGTCTGGAGAGGCTGTTAGAGGACTTGACCGAGTCCTGAAGAGTTAGCTGGGTGAAGGGAAGTGGGGTTAGGCAAAGGCTATCCAGGGAGAGAGAACAGCATGGCGGGGAACTGAAGAAACCTTGGCATGTTTGAGGCTAGAGCCTAGGCATCAGGGAAGGTGGCTGAGAGATACAGCAAAAAATGGCTTTCTTTTTATTGAGCCCTTACTATGGGCCAGGTACTGGGCTAGTTACTTAACATACCCAATTCATCCTCTGTAAGAGCTCCATGAGGTGTGGGTACTGCCTTCTGAGGATAAAGCACATTCCATTGGGAAAAGGAGGCCACGAAGAGATGTGGAAAGAGCGGTCTAGGAGGTGGGACCAGAGCAGGATGGCCTCGTGTTATAGGAGCCAAGGGGAAGGAGCTTCAAAAAGGACTAATGTCAAATGCTACCCAGAGGTCAGTGAGGACAAAGGACTAAGCAACTAGCAAGTCACTTATGATTTTAACAAATATAATTTCAGTGGCAGAAGGAGGCAAAAGACAGATTGCCGGTGGATGAGTCACACATGCAATTCAGAAGTGGTGGATAGTGATAGGCAGCTGCTCTTTGAGAAGACACTTGGAGGAGGAGAAGGCTAGCAAATGGGCACAGGGAGTTAGTGGATTCTATGGTTGGGCAGTTGGGTGGTTGTTTGAAGATGAGAGGGACTAAAGTGTGTTTGTGTGCCCAGAGGCCAGAATGAGCAGAGAGAGAGACAGAGAGAGAAAGAGAGAGAGAGAGAGATGGGGAAGGCCCAAGAATGAGGGATTGCTGAGGAAATAATGTTCCTACTGGGTTGTGAGGAGATGGGGGTGGGGAGGGCCCAACTTTGGCCAGGAGCCCAGAGGAGAGCGTTAACCTGGGTGTGGATGCCAAGACAGGGTGCTGGAAGCTGAAGAAGCTTCAGCCCGTGGGCCTCTGTTTCTCCACACGTAGGAACCCAGATCCTCTGGCAACAAGGGGCAGTCCTTGAATACTTGACTTACAATACATTTATTTCTTGTCAGGAAGTGACATAAGCAGATTTCTCCTGCTGTTGCCAAGCAGGCAGTCAGACTCAGGGGGAAAAGCACTTAGTGCTCACAGACCTGTGATTTGTAGATTTTTTCTCAAGTGACTGCATGGACTGAGCCAGCCCCCCGGAACTGACTTCTCCACCCAGCTTTGAGGGGCTCTCTCCTCATGAATGCCCACACTGTTCGTGGAGCACAGCCCTGAGAGGAAAGCCCACCACGAGCAACAACCAGTGTTAGAGCAGCAAATGCGTGCGGGCACGGAAAGAGCCAGAGCTGAGCTTGGAAGAAACTGAACAAGAAAAATGCAGACTTAGGCAACTGTTGATATCTCTGGCCAAAAGGAGAAGGGAATTTATTAATCTGATTCCGTGAGGGCTCTAGTTAGTGCAAACATTACCCAAGGAGTAAGAAATAAAGCTTTAGTGTAATTTTGGAAGGTGGTTACTTTTGGTGTTGGGATAGGTCCAGGAAACATTTCAGAAGAAAGTCAGAAGCCTGCCCCAAAATGATGTTTTTGTTGGTTGGTTGGTTGGTTGGTTTTGTTTTGTTGCGAATTGGGAACAGACAGGTTCCACGTACGAAAGTAGACTTTTGTGAGTGTTGTTTCGTTGTTTATTGAAAAATATAGTTATTTTCTTCAGTGGTAACTTTCCATCTTCTTTGATTTGCTTTTTAGGGTGGGAGTTGGCATAGTTTCCTCCAGCAGTAGGATTGTGTGAGGAGAAAAGAGGTTCATTTAAAATTAGTGACCAAGTTGCTAAATGTTATCATTAAGTTGTTATCAGTAAGTCAAAGGCTTGATACAACTGCTGTCACTCTTACACACACACACACACACTCACCTCTTCCTAGTGAAAATATGAGCCCGATGGTGTTTACAAACAGTATTGTTTGACCGAGTAATGCACTCCTAGCAGTTACTAACAGAATCTTAATTGTTTGAATGGGTTTTTAACTTGCTCAAGCTTGAGTTACGTAATGAGGTTAATCAAGGCACCCATCTCACAGTATGGTTAACAGGATTAAACCGATACTGCTGGTAAAGTGCCCAGCATCAAAGGGCTGAATGAATGTGCGTGTAGTCGCTGTTGTTCCTGACATTGTAATTAGAAAGCTGATTGCCGTTGCCTGCGGTCCTGGACTCCAGCTGACCCGGAGGCTTTGCCCACAGAGTTTCCTAAACCAGTTCAACAAACACTTGTTGAGGGCCTGCTTTGTGTTCTCGTAAAGGAAAGCAGTAAATGTAGGCACTTGAAGAAGGAGGCACTTTTCCCACCTTGAGATACCGACAGTAATATAAATAAGACAAATAACCAAAATACAATATAGAAAATCAAAATTCCAAAATTCAATGAAATTCAATTCAAGTCAACCAACATTTTTATCAATTACCTCTTATATCCACAGCTTCATATGAGATACTGGGTTAGAGGGATGGCAACAAGGTACACCCACACCTGATTTCAACCAAATGTGACAAGTAAATCAGGGGACTGGGTAGACGTAGTATGATGGAAGAGGTGGTGATTGACTTCAGCTGGAGGTAGCTTTTTTTTTTTTTTTTAAGATTTATTTATCTGAGAGGGAGAAAGGGAGAACACGGTGGGGAGGGGTAGAGGGAGAGGGAGAATCTCAAGCAAACTCCCTGCTGAGCACAGAGCCTGATGCGGGGCTGGATCTCATGACCCTGAGATCATGACCTGAGCTGAAACCAAGAGTCGGATGGATGTGTAACCAGCTGCCACCCAGGCTCCCTGGAGGGTCCAACTAGCTTTCAGAGGGGACGGTGCAGATAAGAATTTAAGCCCACAATGGGAGAATATGGGGGATGCAGCAGGTTCCTTGGCTTGGAGGCAAGAAACCGCGGGTCTTGTCCAGAGAACCGGATATAGTCTATTATTACTGAAACTTAGCTTTGGAGACAGAGGGCATCTTATCAGGGTGTTGGATTGGGCTGGAGGGTCTTCAGAGCTTTGTGAGCAGGCATGATGCGACATGTTTTAGAAACACCCCTGGGGCAGATGGAAGGGTAAGATCAATCCCAGAGCAACAGGAGACGGTAGGAGGTGTCCTGGCCTGAACCAGGTGTGGTCAGGAGATGAAACAGGGGCCGTGGTTTCAAGAAATGTTAACCGGGAGGGTTGGTGATGGATTCAAAGTCTGGCGAGGAAGAGGAAGGAGTCGGGGTGAGCTCCACGTTTCTGCTTGTGTGGCTGGGTGGATATGGCGGTGCCACCAGCTGCCCACAGTGGAGCCACCGTCTCTCTTAAACATGCACCCACACACACACCCCAGCTGTGTCCTTCCTTCTCCCTCCACTCTCTCCTCCCAAGTCAGAAAATGGAAAAAGGAGAAAGACCAGAAATTCTCCATTGCGTGGTGCTCAGCCAGGCCCACTGAGTGAGGCCGACCCTGGCAGCTGCTTCCAGAAAGCTCAAAATGGAAATCAATGGCCTCACCGGGGGACACGCCCTCCTTGTCTTCCCTGCTTCTACCCATCCTCCAATGTCTAACCCTTTCTGTCATCCCTTGACCCACCTTTGCAGTTACTGGAATGTTGGTGGAGAGTTCTGAAAGTTCTGATAACCTGATACCTCAGATATATAGCAATGTTTTCCTCTCCCTCTCCCTGTTCTGTTCTTATCTCTTCCTTTCTTTTCTTTCTTCTTTCCGTTCCTTCCTTCCTTTTCCCCTAGCTTATATTTTATCGTGAAATACAATACACTAACTGGAGTACATAGAGTATAAACATAGAGCTTAGCACATTTTTCTAATGAACACACACACAACCATCACCCAAGTCAAGAAACAGAAGACTGCAAGCCCCTCAGAAGCCCCCCTCAGCGCCCCTCACATCCTCATCTAGTCACCACCCTTGGTATCACACCTCCCACCCTACCCTCACCCCTACAAGTAACCACTATCTCGAATTATGGGACTCACTTCCTTGCTGTGCCTTTTTGTGTTATCGCCTATGTATATGTCCATAAACAACAGAGTTTAGTTTTGCCTCTTTGGGAACTTAATTTTTTGAAATCCTTTGATCCTGATTCTTTCTTTCAACATTTATGTTTATAAGATTCACCCACATTGTTGCAAATAGCTATGCTCTCCAGTGCGTGAACATACTACCATTTTTAAATTCCATTCTATTGTGATGGTCATTGGATTGTTTGCAGTGTTGAGCTTCCCTGAAGAAAGCTCCTCAGACATTCTTATATGTGTATCCTGGTCACAATTCGTAAGTTTCCTCCAAGTACATATCTGGAAGTGGAGCTGCTGGGTCATAAAATGTCTTCCCTACAGTGCAATGTTACTCCCTGTTGTGAGAGCTCTTCTTTTCCATATTCTTGCCAACATGTGGCATTGTCTCTCAACTTATTGTTTTAAGCCTCTGGTCCCCAAAAAGACTTTTCCACTAAAACGGTCCCCTCTAGGTCAGTGGGTCTCACGCTCTGTTTTCCAGGTGACCTGTGACAGGATATTCACATATGTGGCACCCTGTCATGAGCGTGACCATGAGAAGGTTATGAGCAATCCCCAAGTGAGAATGACACAACTTTAAATGAATTCTGGTGGACACCTGGATGGCTCAGTCGGTTAAGCCACTGCCTTCAGCTCAGGTCATGATCCTGGGATCCTGAGATCGAGTCCCGCATCAGGCTCCTTGCTAACTGGGGAGCCTGCTTCTCTCTCTGCCTCTGCTTGTCAGTCTGCCTGCTTGTGCTTTCTCTCTCTCTCTCTCTCTGACAAATAAATAAAATCTTTAAAAAAATAAATGAATTCTGGTTGGTTTAACAAAAGTAAGTCATCTGGGAGTTGCAGTACTTTATTATTTAAAAGCAAAAAATCCCGTGACACACCCCTTAAGTGAGCACAACATACTCGTGTGTTCTGGTGCCCTTGTTGAGAACCTCTTCCTTGTTGGCTGAGACTCTATGATTTTAGCAGCCTTGAGCTTGAATATACTAACCGCCTCTTTAGCCCAAAGCCATGACCCACCAGCATGTTTGTCTACCAAATCTTGGCTCTCACAAACACAGCTGATAGGACAAAAAGAGAAACGGGTAATACAGAAAATACAGACCCAAGGGCTTGTTCTCTAGCATGTGATACTCATGAACATGTTTTTGTGGTGCCCCCACAGGGTTTGACCAGCTGACCTGGACCTGGCCAAGGCCCTGTCCTCCATCATGGCCACCGCACCATTCTGGCTGACTAAGATGTTTCCCTTCAAGGTGAGCAAATGGATGGGGCTTGCTTGCTTCCGGTCAATGGTGGGCTCCTCACCCAACATTCGCCAGAAGAAACTAATCTATAAACTGCAGGAGGAAAAGGCTTTTCGGGAAGAGATGAAAATTTTTCGCGAGAAAATAGAAGACTTCAGGGAAGAGATGTGGAATTTCCGAGGCAAGATCCGTGCTTTCCGGGGTCAGATCTTAGGTTTTTGGGAAGAAGAGCGACCTTTCTGGGAAGAGGAGAAAACCTTCTGGAAAGAGGAAAAAACCTTCTGGGAAATGGAAAGATCTTTCCGAGAAGAAGAGAAAACCTTTTGGAAAAAGTACCATACCTTTTGGAAGGAGGATAAGGCCTTTTGGAAAGAGGACAATGTCTTATGGGAAAGAGACCGGAACCTTCTTCAGGAGGACAAGGCCCTGTGGGAGGAAGAGAAAGCCCTGTGGGTAGAGGAAAGAGCTCTTCTTGAGGAGGAGAAGGCCCTGTGGGAGGATAAAAAGTCCCTCTGGGAGGAAGAGAATGCCCTCTGGGAGGAGGAGAAAGCATTCTGGGTAGAAGGTGGTGGCCATATTGCTGAGGAGCAGATACCTGAAGACAGGCACTATAACGTCGATGGAGGGCCACAACCACCAGCCTTCTCCCGAGGCAGAGCTTGAGCCCCAGAAACAAGGGCCACAGGGTCCAGGCTTTGCTGGATTGGGATTCAAGTCCAGGATGACCCCATGTGTGGGAGAAAAGATGTGCTTGTTGTTCTTTGCTTCAAAAGATCTAATAAAGTCCTGGGGAGAGGTTTGGAAAAACAACTTCTTCAATAGGGCCAGCTTCATTTTTTCTCCGAGGCCATATTCCCACCCGCCAGGCTGTACGGCTGTCTGCACACAGCTCGGTTCTGCGCGCTTCCCCCTGAGCCCCTCATGTGTGAGTGTCCGTGAACAGAGACCCTGGGGCTCTCTTTGAAAGTAAGAATAGGGGAGAAGAGAGGCTCAGACAACTCCAGCTAGAGAGAGACAGGGACAGAGAGCAGCTGAGCCACCCACACTACTGTCACGCTGTGGGACAATCATTTCTTTTCCACTCTGAACAGTCTCAGAGACCTGGAGTGTGCTCACGGCTTTTCAGAGAAGGCCACAGTGTGCTCAAACAACTCACCTGTGCTTCTTGCTCCCCTGTGACCCATTTAGAATACAAGCGGGGGGGATCACCTAATGGTCCTATTGCTCTTACTGTTGCCCCAAACTTCTCAACCGCCCCCTTCTCGGTGGCGGGAGAAAGGGACGTGGCATAAGGCCGAGGCTCTAAAGCACCGCCCACCAAAGCACAGCCCTTCCCGGATGATGAAGTCACGTGGACCGTGTAGGACAGTCTCCCTGCCACCGTGTGTTCCCGTTCACACAGGTGTCACTGAATTATCAATTTCTTTAAGTTTCTCTCTCTCCATTCTTTTAAAATTAAAATGTCCTGGGCCCATAAAAATTAAATGAATGTACACTAATGTGGTCAGCAACTTAAACACCCAACTTCTCTTCTGGGTCTAGATGGTCTATATGGGCATTGGTACGGAAAGGACTAGAGAGTGGACAGTAAGAAATGTCCAGTAAGAAACATTCGCTCTCCCCTTTCTGAGACCTGACCCTCATTGTTATTAACACATCTACTTACCTTGCCTTTGTGCCTCCCTTCCTACTTGACAAGCACTTACACACTCACCAACTCATGTAGCCGTCACCATAACTCTGTGGGTTGACAGGAAAAGTACATCAACCCATTGCACAGATGTGGAAACAGACACCTTAGAAAGCAAAGTGACTACATAAGGGCAGTCAAGTAGCAAACGGAAGGGTCTGCCTCTTGGCCCCGTTCCTTTTCTAATGACAGCCCTAGGTCCTGGAATGTGGCTTTAGAGTGGCTTTAGATGCCAATAATGGCATCAGGGCTTGGGTGAGCCTTATAGCACTGTGGAATTATACTGTGGTATGGGGTGGCAGTTGAGAGACTGGGAGAGGAGAGGACAGGGTGCCCCTAAGTGTGCTGAGCAAACTCTCCTAATAGGAGAAGAATGGGCTCATTCCAGGAGCATCCAGGCCTCTGTGGCTCTGTATCACTGTGGGAATGTTCAGGTTTTGGGCAAGACCTCTGACTGTTAAGAGTCAGGGCCAGGGCTGTGGGAGCAGCTTCCTCCTTTCTCTCACACCCTTCCTTGCCTCCTCAGCCCCCGATGGACCCCTGGGCAAACTTCAGCAAGCTGTGGGAACAAGATGGTGGTATGGAGAATCAGTTTTCAGGGGGAGACAACTGGACAGCCCAACTCAAGAAGACCTTTCTAGCGGATGTGCAGGAGGGTGGGAACCCCAATGCAGCAAGAGCCGTGGAGTCAGGGATGCCCAGTGATTCTTTTCCAAATAACAGCAAAGAGAATTGTTTATCTTAGGACCAAAGAAACGTAAATCTGGTGGAGGAGAAACTGAGGTGCAGGGATGGAAAGCCCCCACCGCCCCCCGCCTGCTTTAACAGCATCCCATAGAAACCATTTGGAGTCAACTGCCAATTGAAGGACTGGAGGAGCGGCCCAGAGAGGACAGGTATTTCTCTCTATGATTCCATCTTTCCTCCACCATTCTGGGCTCTATTCTCTTAGGTCTAGATGGGGAGACAGGCAGGTAAAGAGGCCAGTGCCTCCCAAGCTGATGAGAACAGTGAGAGACAGATCCAAGGAGTGCTCCTTTGATGTCTTTTAACCGAGTTTGGCAGTGGTGGTGGGGGGGGTTGGTGAATGGAGGAATCTAGAAAGGGGGAGGTGATGACTGGGTGAAGCCTAACAGGCCGGTAGGAATTAGCAAAGGTGGGGAACTGAGAGCTAAGGGGGCTACTGGGAGGCCAACAGAGTCCTACAGCTGGGGATGAGTTGGATTTCGTCAACGTGGGAGAGGCCAGCATCAAGGATGATTTGTAGGCTCCTAACAGGGACCCAAGGGGAGGTGGCTATGCCAGTCACTGAGAAGAGGCCAAGGAAGAGCAGGATGGAGAGCTTTTTGGGGTGGGGGGAGATGAAGAATATAGTCTGGGATGCACGAGATGGCAGGACCTCTTCATCTGATATGTAGAGCAAGTTCTCCAAGCCTGCTCAACTCTTGGGTGATCTCAAACTTTTTCCTCATTTACCACCCAAAAACAAGTTATGCCGCCAGCACCCCTTTGTTCCATAAGTCGTGCACTGGTCAGCGACTTCTCCGCCCGCTCATTCATCCAACCACCACTGTGCCTTGTGCACACTGGGCCCTACCTGGGAACATGCTGATTCCCACCCATCTGAAGCTTGCAGTCTGGGGTGAAGGCAATCATCAAATCACGACGTAATTATTTGTAAAATTTGACAAATACCAGGAAGGAGGAGGGTGCATGGGGCTGCCTCTCTGAGAGGACCCCAAGAGTACATCCCACTTCAGCATTTTAAACAGAGAACTGGCTCTCTAGAGATAGGAAACCAAACCAAGATTTAGATAAAAGAAAACATAGGTAAGTGGTGTAAGCTACTAATGGAGAGTCACTAGACCCTCGTAGGGGTTCACAGATAAAAGAAAGGATGCAGCATGTCCGTGAAAGCAGCTTCTAGCCTTTGTGTTATGATTACTAGTGTTATCACAAACATACGTAGACTTGTTCAGAGCGGCTGCCGAAGCTGGTTTCCTCTTGGAGGCGGCACCGGTGACAGCATCACTGAGCTCCTGAGGGATTGCCTGGCTGTTCTGTGGCTGGAGTCACAGGCAGACATCTAAGGAGGAGCTTGGCTCCCTTTCTTTGATCTTGTGGCAGGAGGCATGTCATCTGTGTCCTCTCGGGGACCTGCTCCTCTGCTGGACCCCAGATTTAAAATCATCTTTATTCCAGAACCATAATGCAGACATTGAAAGATCCAGGAGTGCCAGAAACAGCATCTATTACCATAACTATTACCTTGCCATGGAATTCACTCCCTCCAAAGCCTGAACCCGCCTGATGCTCCTACCTGAACCTGCCAGAAGGGGAAGGATAGCATATTTTTAAAAGATTTATTTATTTTATTTTTAAAAAGATTTTATTTACTTACTTGAGAGAGAGTGTGAGAAAGCACAAGCAGGGAGAGCAACAGAGAGAGAGGGAGAAGCAGGCTCCCCACCAAGCAGTGAGCCCCATGTGGGGCTCGATCCCAGGACCTGAGAACATGACCTGAAACAAAGGCAGAGGCTTAACTGACTGAGCCTCCCAGGTACCCAGTAAAATATTTATTTATTTATTTATTTACTTACTTACTTATTTATTGAGCAGGGGGAGGGACAGAGTGAGAGAAAGAATCTTAGGCAGACTCCCCACTGAGCATGGACCCCCCCCCCACAACAAGGAGCTCCAACCTATGACCTGAGCTGAGATTGCGACCTGAGCGGAAATCATGAGTGGGTGGCTTAGTTGGCTAAGTCACCCAGGTGCTCCAGAAGGACAGCATTTTCCCTAAATTCCTTAGGGAAATGTGATCTGTAAATGGGAGTTGTAAAGGCTGTGAACCACACACATCAGACTCACCTGGGATTGATTGCCAAAACTACGATTCCTGGGCACCACCCTAGACTGGATCTCAGTTTCTGGGGGCCAGGCCTTAAAACCTGTATTTTAAAACACGTTTTCCAGATGATTTTTATGCAAACTAAATTCTAGGAAACACTTGTGTATAGGTTAAAAAAAAAAAAGGCACTGGGATAGAACTCAAATATCCTGATTCTATTTCCAGTTCTATCACTCATGGCTAAGAGCTTGAGGGACCAGGTCGAGCCTCTGTTTCCTCAGCTGCAGAAGCAGTGACCTCACTAACTGAAGAAGTCCCTGTTGGCAAGTGTTGCAAGGGAAAGGACTAATAGCACAGCTTCTTTATAAAGAAATCTTCCCAATTTCTCCCCACATTTCCTCCTCTTGACCCTTTAGCACTTTCAAGGTGGGTAAAAGTTTAAGAGTTATGTAAATGGATATTGGAAACTTTTTTGTTTACTTCTGTATATGTTTGGTTCTATAGAACCAAGTTAATCACTTATCAAGCTCTAGTACTTTCTGGATTTGTTATTACAATTATAATTTCAAGCTCCACTGAAGGTATCTTCCTCTGCAGTGTTTCTTAAAGAGAGGGTCTTTGGCATTTGGGATTGGAAAATTCTTCATTGTGAAGTATTTTCTAAAACTTTAATGATTTAGCATCTCTGGCCTCACAAATGCCTGTGTTGCTACCCAGTCTCTGATGACAAGCAAAAATTACCCTGCCATTTCTACACATTCCACAGAGGTAGTTCTGCTCCACTGAGAACCACAAGTTTCTCAACTAGGACATGCTTAGCTAAGAGGTTGTGAATTTTCATGACCAATCAATACAAATTACTTCTTTTTTAAATTTATTTTTTATTAATTATTTTTATTAACATATAATGTATTATTTGCCCCAGGGGTACAGGTCTGTGAATCGCCAGGCTTACATACTTCACAGCACTCACCATAGCACATACCCTCCCCAATGTCCATAACCCCACCACCCTCTCCCTACCCTCCTCCCCCTGGCAATCCTCAGTTTACAAATTACTTCTTTACATAGGACTGCACTCTGTATGTCCTAGTGGAGCCTCAGCAATGAGATTTGATGAGG